TAACTGCTGATTATCTGTTACTGCTGCCCTGAGCTGGGGCCCAAGGGCTGGGAAATCTGTTGGTGCTACCCCGCCCTACCATTCACCCAGCTCACTGACTGCCAACAGGAAGTACTGTTTGGCCAGTTCCTTCCCATTCGCCCACCCCCTTGTCCCTAGACCAAACATGTTTACCTCTGCTTCGCCAATGTAGCCAGCAGCTTTAGCCAACAGGCCATCTCCTGGCCCCAATGTCTCCTGGCCATTTCTGTCTCAGTTATGGCTCTTATACCCTCAACAGGATTCTGTATTGTCCCAATTTCTTCCTCCTGAGTTTTTATTGAGGTTACTCCTGTCACTTCTAAGGAGGGAACAATAGTTGTTTTAGAAGCATTTGCGCTTTATATAAAGATTTTAAAAAGAATTTGCTTTTATTTCCCAAAGTCTGTCTCTGGGGTTGAGACATTTGAACTCAGGCAGAGACAAGAGGCTGGGCAGAGCTGCCCTGAGTTTAGGGGCCTATTCTTGCATCTCACTTAGACCTCAGACTCTCCTCTGTAAATTCCACCTGCCTAGTTCTCCCCTTTCATCCTCTCTCTTCCTACATCATCAGAGAGGAAAAGCTCTTTAAGAGGAAGAGAAAACAAAGCATCTTATTTTCTTTTAAAAAATTTTAAACCATGGAAAAGATATTTTTAAAGAAATTCACCCAAAACATTAAAGTTCATTATATTAAGTATTTATCATGTGTGAGAATAATAAGTATATAACTGCAGCTAGTAGGTCCCTTTCCCTAATCTCTTAGGTATGAGTAGGATTTGCTTGGTGCCAGTCCTGTGCCCTTTTTTCTCCTGTCATCTGTAGTCGTGATCAGAAAAAGATAACTGCACTGCGCTGTCAGAACCTCTTTCCACTATGTTGTGTGTTCAATTACCGTAGCTCTTTGTTTCATGAAATAAACTGTGAATTTTTTGGGGGGGGGGTGGGTATGCAGGCTATGTAAAATTTTTAAGAGGAGAAGTTTGATCATGAAGTAGCTTCTCTGATGTAGGCTTTGGTAGGTAATTGACTTGACAGCCACTCTAGATAAGTCTCACAGGACAGGAAGGAGTGAGGGAAAGGTAGACCACTTTGTGGTTTTCAGTTTTTTCCATTCTCCATCATTCACTGGACGCTTCCTTCCAGTCCTGCCTAGTAAACAACTTCTGAACTGTGCTTGGTTTGGGGGAGGCAGAGTAGCCCTTTAAATGGATGGACAGCCAGCCAGAGTTTTGTGAGGGCCATTGAAAGATTCTTAGATTAATTGGAAACTAGACATTCAACTCAGGCCCACTAATAGTATTTGATACTAGATTGTTAACATCATGAAAGCAGTCACTGTAGAATTAGAAGCAGAGTCGGTAAGACTTTGGGAAAGAGAGACTCTTGCATGAAAGGAGGGTGTTGACCTTGCCAGCCTTTGGGGATTTTCCTGGAGCCTATGTGGATACCTTTTCTCCAGGGAGTGTGAATTGGCAGTTAACAGGAAAGCTTTACTCTTAGAAACTCCTGATCTTTATGTAAGGTGGTATTTTGGCATTTGGCCAAATACTTATAAATCAGGATCTCAAGAGTCTGTCTCTAAGCTGGTTCCCCAGGAAGCCTTTCTGAGGAGGAAGCCATAGCTTCCACAAGTACCTGGAGAACTAATACCTCCCTTAGCCCTATTCAGAAGAAAATTATGAAAACTGTTGAAATTTTTATTCAAAGCCTCATTTGCTTCTCTACTGGAGCAAACCCATTCTCATAGCAAAACAGATGTTGCTACAACAGCATTTAAGTTTTTTTTTAATGTCTGCTTCCCCGTGAAGTTATTGAGTTTGAAGTGATTTAAATCACTGTGTTGATCCTCTTCTGAACAACTCCCAAATCTACATCTTTAGCATTGATATAAATAATTGTTTTTTCTTTACATTCTCCACCCCACACTACAGTCAGGGCATGAAGTGCATCAGCGATCCTTTTCCAGGCTTGGCAGCATCTACTCACTGGAGCTGGACTCGCACGTTGCCTCATGAGAACAGAGTGGCAGGAAGGAAGTTGGTCCTGGCAGCTTCCCCTGTGGAGAAGAATCAGGAGAGCACTAAACGTGGATGGATTTTATTTTTTGCATCAGCTCCTATAAAAAGTGGGTTTTCTCCAAGGCTTTCTGAGGGGATATCTTCATCCTCTTGGTATCTGTCAACCAGGTCAGAGTTAGCTCAGTGTCCTCACCTCTCTGAGATCATGGCAGGAAAGGAGGTGGGACAAGCCCCTATTCCTCCTGAATAATGACTGGGCTGTATCATGTGTTCGACATTCCAAATCATTTAGAGCTCAGTAGCTGCTGCATGAGACTTTCATTGACTGTGGCCCGTTAGCTCGCAGCTGAGCTTCCTAGGGCTAGCGTAGCAGGGCCAGAGGTTGCTATAGTGTAAATTGAAAAAAGAATAGGTAATTTGCTTTGTACACACACAAAAATGTAATGATGGTGCTAATTTCCTGGTAAAAATAAGCACTGCCAAGGGTTGAAGGACTGGTGACTTGAGAAACCTAGATTCCTGTTTGGGAGCAAGAGATCTCATGTCTTAGTTCCCTCGAGGTTCTGTTAGAAGAAGAGAAGGTAGAGCTTTGGTGAGTCCTGCACCCGACCCTGGGGTGATCCAGTGCAGTCCGGAAGTGGAAGACACGCTGTTTGCAGATGAGGGAGTTCTTTGAGTTTCTCAGGGCTGGTGTTACCTTGTTCACAGCCTCCGTCCACACCGCCTGAACAGGCTGGTAGAGAGCTCCAGGTGTGGGATCTCCCTCAGATGCCTTCTGCCCCTCTACCTCTTCACTCTCATGGGAGCACCTCTATTGCTTATGAAGACTAAGGATATTATTTCTTAAGGAAGTGGAAAGAGTTTATTTTAATTAGAAATCCACAGCCTGGGCAGAAACGTTTCCTATCAACATAAGCAAAAATAGCACATGTGGTCCCTTTTCTAGAGCTACTTTCCCGTGACTCTCAAAACATCAGGCTCTTTAGGGGCTTCAGGTATAACACCTTGGAAATCCAGCAAACTTTTGCAGATAAGAGGTGAGCCCAGGGAGCAGGAGCAGAAATGATCGGTTCTGGTGCTTTAGACTTGCAGGGTTGGGGCAGAGAAAGGCAGTCTCCAGGTCTGAGACGCGTGCTGCCTGTGTGCATGTAGGCGAGTGTTGGGCAAGCGCAGCACACGGGAGCTCATGGAAGAGCAGCTTTCTAAGTCTTGGCAAAAAAACAAGCTGACAAAGAGATCTATCTTTATATTTTTAAGGGGCAAAAGGGGGTGTCAGCTGAGGTCCATCACTTTTTTTGCCCCCCTTCACCCCCATAGATTGTCAGCGGTAAGTGAAACTCTTAGTGAAACAGAGGGGAGCCTGTGCTAGGAGTCCCCATAAACATGTACTGTAATTCTTTGTATATAGAAAAAAAATTACTGTAAAGTAAAGTTTAACTTTACTCTTATGGCCCTTGCCCTGTGTTTTGTTTTGTTGTCCGTGGGGAGATAGAGCCTAACAGGAGGGAGGATGGGTGTGGCGTGAGAGCAGAAGCCAGACTGAGGTGGTTCCCAGATGGGGACACAGCTGAGCCCTTCCTCCAAGCACCTCATGGAAGTGGTGTGGGTTTCCTCCCAGCAGCCACTGCTGTCAGAATGTCTGCTGCTTTCGGGAGTGGCTGCTGTCGGTCTCAGTCCCTACCCAGGAGGCCTTCATCACCCACGCAAAGGAAGGGTGTTTTGAGGAATTGGTTTTTAAAAAGGAACTGGAACCAAAGCACTTTTCTGATTATGAGTCTAGCCATCTTGGCCAAGTTTTTATTTTTTTAGAGGCAGGTGCTGAGCACTGCAGAAGACCCAGCCCAGGCCTAAAATGGGATAGTGAAGCAAAGAGGCTGAGCATCCCACACCAGAAAGGGAGGGCTGCTATATGCTTCCTTGTGAAAAGGAAAGGTCAGTCCTGTGTACAGTAATATCTGGTTCTTCTAAAGACATCTAAGGCCCCAAAATAATACTTTCAGCTAACCCTGGAAATCACTTCCCTTTGTGACTTCGTCCTGAACTTCCTGCCCCAGGGAAGAATAGGGGACAACAAGCATTTAGTTCTACAGTTAACATTTCAACCATACTCTTCAGTCTTGAATTAGGTACTAGTCACCTCATTTTAAAAGGAGAACACAGCCAAGTTTGAATCCCTTTTCTGGGTAGCTGAGTTAGAGCCCAATCTGGATCTCTAAGACCTTTCTAAGTCTTGCAGAACCTGTAATTTGTCTACTATTAAGCCACATTATAGCATGTTGCTGGGAAGCTTAGGCTCTGAGCCGCAGGGATGACTCACAGACCTAGACGTGACAGAGGTGCAGTAGAGCCAGCCAGTCCGAGGTAGAAATGCTTGACCCTTTGATCTCTGGATACCGCCTGAGTGCCTTTCAAGTTCTTAACACCAAGAAGGAACCGTGTTGCACTGCCCCAACCCCAGCTTTTCACCCTATCTCTGCCCCCACTAAAGAACGCAGCAAAGGGCCCTTTTGCTTCTCTATTATCTTAACTGCAACCCTAGGGTGAAGCCGCTTGGTTTCCAAAGGAAAATAAGACCTGAGAAGAACCCTGATTATAGGAAGTAAGGCCAATCAGGTGGCCCCAGAAAGTCCTAGGTGTCCTGACACCCAATCCAGACAGCAGGGAAAGGGGTTGAGTGTAATTCACAGTGCATTGATTTTATTTACAAATCAGAAGCCATTTAAATAATCTGTAGACACAACTGTTGTCCAGGACAGAAGCCCGGGGTCCAAATCAGCCCTTACCCTCTTTGTGCCCATCAGTCAGCCCCAATGCTGTCTCCGTTCCATGGGCCAGCACAGGCAGGTGCCACCTCTGCTGCCACGGGAACCCAGGGAGCTCAGATGCTCGATCATCCAAGCCCAGACAAGAGCTAGGTCCAGCCTTCCTGGGGGGATCCCCCCAGGCCAAGTGAGTGGTGACTCAGTGATGACAACAGCTGTAGAAGTAGGGGTTTGCCTTCTGGCCCAGGTCCACGCCCTTGTCCTCTGTCAAAGAGAGAGGTGGTAGCTCAACATACTGTTGTGGGGTGGGAGGAGTCAGGTGCTGTGGGCCTAAAGGGAGTCTCCACAGGAGCTAAGGAAAAACACACCTGTCATCACCTGGAAGGCGGCCACACTGACGTAATCCTCTGCCACTTTCTGGAAGAGCTCGTCTGGCAGGAAAAAGGGCAATCAGTGAGAACCAGACGCTAGGAACCCAGGGATCACATAGTAACCCAGTCCTCTGAGCTTTTCTCTGCCTCCTTTGTTGCCCCTATGTGTTCTGCTGTGAGGCCAAGGACCGCACTCACCCACACTCTGGCCTGTCTTGCTGGATGTTTCAAAGAGCTGAGCTTTGATATCTGTAAAGAGAAATGACTAAAGCCTCATACTTGAGAATTAGGTGGGCACAGACTAGCAGTACAGGGACTCTTCCAAACCCCACAGATGCGCGGAGGTGGAGAAAGTCTTCCTGTGGGGGATCTTGCCTAAGCAGCCCCCATTTTTTGTGACCCACCCAAGCAGCCACTTTCCTCCCCTCCCCACCCCCAACCCAAGGAACTAAGGAGCAGCTACTGTCTGCATAGTCCTGAACGTCGTGGAAGTCCACCCGTCGCCGCCGCCTGTCCTCCTCCAGCAGGTCACTCTTGGTGCCACACAAGTAGATCTGACAGCCCTGGACCAGAAGACAAGGCCAGGGTCACCTCCCTTGGGCCACCAGACCCCCAGCCCCTGCCTGGTCTTCTGGTGAGGTCAGGCCACCTACCTCCTCTAGGTTGCGCAGCTCCTTCACCCAGAACTTTGCCCGTTCAAAGCTGCTGCTGTCCGTCAGGTCTTGGTGTGGAACACAGGAAACAAGCAAGGGTTGGGGCTGTTCTGTAAGGCCAGCCTGGTACCCTCCCCTTCTTGTTTGAGGAACTGGCCAAAACCCTTCTTACCATAGCAGACGATGGCAGCCTTGGCGCCCCGATAGTAGATTCGGCTCATGGCCTCATAGCGCTCAGAGCCTGCTGTGTCCTGAAGGGCAGGGGGAGGCTCAGCCCTGGCCTGGGTTACGAAGCTATACTCCCCACAAACTAATACCACGTCCTACAGACCCCTGTCTTTAAATTGGGGTCTAGAGAACAGAAACCTTCGTGAGCCCACAAATCAGTAAAAGGCAAGGACCTACGCCTCCTCAAGAATGGGTTTTCCCAGGTTACGTGCCCAGAGAACTCACCCAAATACCCAAAGTCACCGTCCGGTCTCCGACGGACATCACCTTGGCTACGAAGGCGGCCCCTATGGTCTGCAACCAAGGGGAAGCGATCAGAGCCTCGCGTGTCGGCTAGCCCCCTCCCACCCGTGCTGGGCCCCGCCGGGCGCACTCACATTCTGATAAGGCCCCACCAGGAAGCGGTCGTGCACGTATCGCTCCACCAGGCTCGTCTTGCCCACGTACTCCTTGCCCAACATCACCACCTTGACGTCCACGCGCTGCCCGCTCATGCTCCCGGGGCCGCCTCACCCGCGTCAGGGTCCTGAGCGGGGGCGCGAGGCAAACCCGGCTCTCCGCTCTGACAGGCAGCGCCCTTAGCCTCAGTCCCCAACCCCAGGCGCCAACCTAAGGTTCCACACGCCGCGACGAGCTTGAGCGACGACAACGCCTCCGTCCGCCCCCGCTTTTCGGGCCCAGGAATTATCCTCCTTCTAAGAGCCCGGGACCCGGGGCGGCTTGGGAGCGCGCGGGGCAGCGCCCTTAACGGCGCCGCACGCCGCCGCCGCCCGACTTGCTAGCTCGCTCTTTCGCTTGCTCGCCCACCTAGCTTAGAGGCCGCGCCGGTACAGATTCCCCACCGAGCCAGGGTGCTCCTCCAACCCAGCTCCGGCCTGCAGCGCCGCGACTCCAGCGGTGGCGGGGGCGGGGAAGGGAAAGGGTTGGGGGGGGTGGGTAAGGGGAAGGAGGTTGTGGGGGCGGGGTCGTCGGGTCACGTGGGAAGGCACCGGAAGAGGTGGGTACTTCACTGCTGAGCCGGAAGTAGCGCGCGGCCCGATAATTCCTCATGGCGGCGGGGGTGGCGGCGGCTGGTTGGGTGCGGCGCTGCAGCCACTGATCTGCTGCTAAGCCTGGCGGCCGAGCGTCGAGCTCCAGCCCGGCTTCCGCGTGCCCCTCGGGCTCCGCACCCCTGATGCTGCTCGGGCGCTGAGCCCGCCCCGGCCGGGACGATGGTGAAGTATTTCCTGGGCCAGAGCGTGCTCCGGAGTTCCTGGGACCAAGTGTTCGCTGCCTTCTGGCAGCGGTACCCGAATCCCTATAGGTACGTGGCCCTGGGAAAAGCAACGCTCCCACCTCGCTGTTTGGAGATCGGAGTCTGGGGGCCGGGAAAGACTGAACTTCGAGTGGGGGGATCGCCAGAGCCTGGTTATGTTTAGGGCAGAAGAACCCTATCGGGGAAGCGGCCAGACTAGGCCTGCAAGGTACTGGAAGGAGTCTGGGCTTGGGCAGTGGATTACTTGAAGCCCTAGTCTTAAGGTTCTCTCGTCTCACTGTGGTGAGACAGGAAGAGAAGGCAGCACAGGAATTAGGGAGGGATCTTGGGGTTGGAAGTTTGGGCCCTTGCCTGCTTCTCTGCCCTTGACTGCTCTCCAATGGTGCAATAAATCAGGAGGTCCATCCCTGCTGGAATGCCCAGGAATCCAGGTCAGCGAGGGGGCGGGAGTTGGAATTTGCCCTGGGAGAGGCTCAAAGGCTCCAGTTCAGGTCTGAGCCACAACCACAGCTTACTCTGAAAGTTTGGGAAAAGGCCTGGCCATTCTGAGCATGGAGGCTCCAGGTGGGAACCTCACCAGGCAGTCTCCCAGGGTCAGGCTCCTGAGGGTCCCCTTCACCCTGACACCTGCAGCAAACATGTCTTGACTGAAGACATAGTGCACCGAGAGGTGACCTCTGACCAGAAGCTCCTGTCCCGACGACTCCTGACCAAGACGAACAGGATGCCCCGCTGGGCTGAGCGACTGTTCCCTGCCAATGTTGCTCATTCAGTGTACATCCTGGAGGATTCTATTGTGGACCCACAAAACCAGACCATGACCACCTTCACCTGGAACATCAACCACGCCCGGCTGATGGTGAGACCCCTCCCACTTCCCCCTCCAAACTAGAGCGCTCCAGATACCTGTGGCTAGGGAACCATGAGAGGGCTTCTAGGATTCAAGCAGATCTGAGGAGTGGTAACTCTAGAGTACAAACTCGGGTGGTCTTTTCAGCCAGTTATCTTCTCTAGGCCTGTCTTCTAACTCGTTCATACAGCGGAGGAATACCTGTTTTCTACTTGTAAGTACTAAATGCAGGGCACTCACACTGCCTGGCACGAGTATAGGTTGGGCCACAGGCATGATGCTGAGGGAAGGAGACAGTGGTTTTCAAACATCAAGTCTCCAGAGTACCTTGGATGTACCTCAGAGGGGAGAGGACTGCCCTCCCCCCGCCCCCCTTTGACTATCTGTCTAATGTAATGGATTTCTGCCTGAGATTTCGGGGCAAGGAGAGGGAAGTTCCACATACCTTTGATTTCTTGCTTTAAAAAAAAAAAAGACTTGAAAACCCATGGTTTATTAATAGTTTAAGGAACATTTCATCTATGAGTACCTTGAAAGCCTTCAGGACACTTTTATTCTTTCTCAGTTAATCATCACAATAACACAGGGAAGTGGGTCTTACTCTATTGTGCAAAGAGAATAGTGAAGTTCAGGGAGGGGAAGTGTGCTGCAAAGTCACAGAATGAGTCACCTTAATGCTTTGCCCCAGAGTCATCTGAGGGCCCTAGCTCTGTGTTTTGTAAATTACTAAGATAAGACCTCTGAGACCTCCCTTTCAATTCAGCTGTGACAGGTGTCTTTTTAAGTGTTTCTCTCGGAAGTACAGGTCCACTTTCTCCTCCCTGATAAGGACAGCTGTGGTGATTGCCAGATTTCCTTTTCTGTTTTTGGATTGCTGGCGGCTTAAGAGCCAAAGTGGGTGGTCATAGTGTTAGTTGTTCAGTGGTGATGGACAGGAAAGCCTGGTGTACTGCAGTCCATGGGGCCGCAAAGAGTCGGACACAACTGAATTGAACTGTGTGTGTCTCTTTGCAACCTGGTAGACTGTAGCCCACCATGCTCCTCTGGCCCTGAAATTCTCCAGGCAAGAATACTGGAGTGGGTTGCCATTTCCTTCTCCAGAGGATCTTCCTGACCCAGGGGTCAAACCCGGGTCTCCCACATTGCAGGCAGATTCTTTACCATCTGATTCACAGGGGAAGCCCAAAATGGTTGGCAGGCAGGCTGAAAACACCACAGACCTCTCAAGAGTTCATGTGCCTTTTAGTGTGAGGGGTCAGAGGAGAGGTTTTTAGAGAGCAAAATGACTTTTTTTCCATCTTCCTACTCTCTTCCTGAAGTGCCATTTGAGAATCCAGTAAGGTAAGGGAAAGAATGCTTTTCCTCATGAAACGAGGCAGGGAATCAAACTGATGTGTAAGTTGGCCAAGTGAAGGACTCCCACGTGATGGTGGTTGACTTGCCTGCCTGCACAGGTGGTGGAGGAACGATGTGTTTACCGTGTGAACTCTGATAACAGCGGCTGGACCGAAATCCGCCGGGAAGCCTGGGTCTCCTCTAGCTTATTTGGTGTCTCCAGAGCTGTCCAGGTGAGCAGCGTTGGAGTGCCGGGGCCCAAGCCATTTATCATCGAGTCTGGGCTGGGGTTCCCTGGGCAACTCTGAATCCTTCCCTTTGTCATTTTTTGCCAGGAATTTGGTCTCGCGCGGTTCAAAAGCAACGTGACCAAGACTATGAAGGGTTTTGAATACATCTTGGCCAAGCTGCAAGGTGAGGGCTCGAGACATAGACAGAGGTTTCAAGTCCTACCTGCTATGCTTGGGCCAAAGCCTACTCTGAGCCCACCCTCAACTCATCTGTACACTGAGTATTTTCTTCAGAGCCTGGCCCCCAGGAGATAAATGTCCTAGGAAGTCATTTAGGTCAGTTTTCTTGGCATTCTCTAAAACCAGCCCCCCACCCTTTGCTCCAGGTGAGGCCCCTCCCAAAACCCTTGTTGAAACAGCCAAGGAAGCCAAGGAGAAGGCCAAGGAGACGGCACTGGCAGCTACGGAGAAGGCCAAGGACCTTGCCAGCAAGGCAGCCACGAAGAAGCAGCAGCAGCAGCAGCAGTTCGTGTAGCCGGCCCAGGCCCCGAGGCAGCAGCCTAGCAGACTACCGGCACCGGTCCGTGCCCCCGCCTCCTGTACTTTATCATTAAAAGCCAGCCTGTAGCCCTCTCGACTGTCTGGGTGGTGGGCTGAGGGCAGGGGCCCTGTTTGGCATCTCCAGCACAGCCAGCCCGTTCCCGTGTCTGAGCTGGGCCTCCTCACTCCTGCATCGGGTGGCCGAGGACAGAGGCAGTGACTTATCCAGGGTCACTGCATCCAGGTGAAGTGGTCGTAAATGCTAGACTGTGAGCTCCATGAGGGCAGGGACCGTTGTTTTATCCTCTGATGTGTCCCAAGTATCTGAAACAAAATCTTACGTGTAACAGGCACTCAATAAATACTTGTTGAATTCAATTGGACCCCACTCTGGAGTCAGGAAGCTTGAATCTTGACCCCACTGGTTTTCTGGCTTTGGCCCTCAGGCCGGTCACGTCACTCGGCCTTGGTTCCACACTTGAAGTGTGGACAGACGGCCTCCAGGCTGTGGGGAGTAAAGGGTCTCTGCCCAGTGTGGTCAGGAGGGTTTGTGGTGGCTGTAAATCTCATTTCTTCTTTTCCAGTTTGTGGCTGGAAGTTCCCACATTTTCATCAGGCAAGACCATGGACAGGAAGTTAAGAAAGAGGCTTTTAATGAAAATACAGTATGCATAGGGCAAAGGCCAGGGGCCCTTGTTTAGGAAGGAACATGAGGGCCCAAGAGGCTTCCTGCTGCCATGGACATCTGGGCCAAGTGCTATAAAAAATGCCCGGGAGGGTGGCCTGGGCCCAAGCTGCCTGCCCTGCAGGGCTCAGGGGGGCTCAACACCGCTCTCCCAGGTGGGACTGCCAGCCGCCAGCAGCAGGGTACAAGGAGCACCTGTTCCCACACAGGGTCCTTTTAGTCCATTCCAACAGTGACTCCAAGCAGCCCTGGAGGCTCGGTGAGGGCTCTGGCCTGACGGCGCAGAGTGGGCTGAGGGCAGAGGCCGCTCTGGGCGGTGAGGGTCATAGCCAGGCACCACCGCTGTGTGAGTAGCTGTGCTCCTGGCCTGTGCTGAAGCCCCGCAGCAGCTCAGCCTCGCCTCCGAACACCAGGCTCTCCACATCCACCTCCAGCTCCTCTGCACAGGGAGAGGGCCAGTCAGGAGACCTGGCCCACTCGCCCCAGCCGAGCCCTCCACTCCAGGGCACTTACCTTGGTCTGAGTCCGAGCGCTCGGAGGAGAGGCCCGAGGAGTCCAGGCTGTCCGCCCGCAGCCGCTCCCGCTCGCCCGCCGCGCCCAGCCCCCGGAGATGCTCCAGCTGCTGCCGCAGGTTTTGCTGCTTGCTGCGCAGCTTCTCCTTGAGCTGCCGGGCCCGCTGCTCCTGCTCCTCCAGCTTCTGCAAATCCAGGGGAGCAAGGGGCTGGGCTCAGGCACCACTCGACGGCAGACCGGTCATGTGACAGGCTCACTAGATGCAGGTGCCAGAGGGCTGCTGCCACATCCTGCAGGAAGCCGGGGCCTGCTGCCCTCCTGCCTCACGTAAATGGCCTGGGAGTTCTGTCTGCACGGTTGGGAGGGAGGGCCGCACAATCTCCAAGGCCCTCAGGGCTCTCAAGTGACGTGAAGGAGCGGAGTGTGCTGGTGTCAGGCGATGGAGATGGGAGAGGGACTGGGGCACACCAGCACGTGCACACATTAAGGCTCGGAGGAGGTGTCCCAGGCCAATTACTGCCACGTGGAAACAAGCCCAGTGTTGCCAGATCTCCTAGGGCTTGTTTTTGTTTTGGCCACGCCACACAGCCTGTGGGATCTTCATTCCCTGACAGAGATCGAACCTGCATCCACTATTTTTAGAAAGCTACGAATCCACCTGTCAATAGAAGACGTGGATTCGATTCTTAAATAGGGACGATCCCCTGGAGAAGGAAATGGCAACCCACCCCAGTATTCTTGCCTGGGAAACCCCATGGGCAGAGCAGCCTGGCGGGCTACAGTCCATGAGGTTGCAAAGAGTCTGACACGACTGAGCAACTAAACGACAAGAGATTAAACAAAGGCTACCAGTTTGTAACTCCTCCTCAAGACCCTCCCAGGAACCACAAGTCTTCAGTATTAGTCTCCACCTGCCGCCTCCACGCAAACTCTGCCAGCCCTGAGATCCAGGGACTGGAGGGCCAAGGGTTCTCCAATCAGGCCCTCAGTGGGCAAAAGCATGCATTCAATCAACAAGAAGGGGAGAACTGGGTGAGGAGGTATTTGAACTGGCTGTAGATGGATGAATAAGCACTACCCAGGTAAGGATGGAGGAGGAAACATCCAGGCAGACTGAAAACGGGAAGAGTATGGAGAGCTCAGCTTTTTAGTGGGACACGGGGCAAGATGAGACCAGTGGCAAGGCCTGTGTTGTGAAGGGCCTTGAATTTCACTGGAAGTAAGAAACTGAAGCTGTCCTGTCAAACCATGGAAGGTTTTCAGCAGGGGACAGACCTGGACAGATCTATGAGCAGCAAAGAACATCCCAGGGCAAGGTGGGGAGGACAGCCAGGTAGAGGCAAAACAGGAAGCAGGGAGTCCAGGAAGGAGCAATCCCTAGGTCCCGCCCATGGGACAGCCAGCACCCAAGACACACATCCCTCTGAGAACCATCAGGCAAACTCCACGTGAGACACTGGAGCCCACTTTCCAACCAGGGTGTTATTCAACCATAAGGCACCGTGAGGACAGTGCTAACAGTTTCCACACCATTTTATTTGCTGCGAGCCACCTCCGGCCATCTCTTTCACAGCTGCCTGTGCCCACAACAGGCAGAGCAGATGCTCACTTGTTGCGGAAAAGAATGCAAGTCAAGAGACACAGGCCTCAGTTCTGAATCTGCCTCTCATCAGCCGGCTGTACGCCCAATTCTTGCTCTGTCAAAAAGGGCCAGGAGGGCAGGAAAAGGCCTCCATTGTTTCCAAGTCGCTTCTAAGCGCCCCCACTCTGTGATGATGCCTCGTCTTGAGTCAGCACATTCCACTCCCATCCACCAGGGGGCGCTGAGGGGAGCCCGGTAAGGAAGGGTCACTGCAGTCCTCTCGGCCCTTTCCCCCTTCTGGCCTCTGGACCTGCCTCCCAAAGCAGGACAGGCCCGTCAGAACAGGGGGCCTTGAGGATGCAGGAGAGGAGGAGTGAATAACAGCCCTCTCCAGTCTGAGGGACCCTTATAGTGACCCATCACAGAATGTCCCCCATACGGAGGAGGAAATGAAGTCCAGAGAGGCTACCTAATTCGCTCCAGGTCTCACAGTTGGGATTCAAGTAATAATCGTTGTAATAACAAGTGAACATTTATTGGGAAAACTTGCTTAAAGCCTCAGAACAATCCTCTTGGGTTACTTCCTGCTTTTCTTCCTACTTAAACCTAGAAACTAAAAGCACAGAGCCCAATGTCACACAGTTGGTCTGTGACATGAGACTTCTCTCCTAGTTCCTCCCAGTCTCTCCCTACTGCGCTTCTCCCAGCATCCTGGCAAGCTGGTCCCGGGTCCCAGGGGAGTGTCTTACCTGGATGTGCATTCTGGCCCTTCGAAGAAGGCTCAGTGTGGTGTATCGGACACAGTCAGCCCCCAGGGGCATCTGCTGCTTCAGCTGCTCCAGGCACCGCTTCAGCTGGGCCCTCCTGCAGAGGGAGGGGTCTAGAGGGCAGTGCCAGCCCAGGCCCGCTGGCCAGACGAGGGATGACAGGGGAGGGAAGGCCAGAGGGAGGCTGTTCTTGGGGACTGGTGCTCTCAGGGCAGGGCTGGGACTCACCTGCGCTTCTCCAGCTCGTTGTGCACAGACCTGCCAATGCCAGAGAGGATGAGGAAAGGGAGTGTCAGTTACTGTCCACACCCTCAGTCCCAGAGTACCCAGGGGCTCAAAACTCACTACAGATGTGTGCCCCAAACTAACCCACTGTGGGGACCTTGTGCTGGCCTCAGACAGCTGAGTGCCAGGCAGAGGCAGAGACAGTAAGGAGGTCACATGCTGAGAGAGGTCTGCCCAGGTGATGTGGGATCCAAATGTGTCCCCTAGCCACAATCAGGAAGGGCTTCCTGAACACAAGTGACATTTGAGCTGAGCCCAGCCACACAAGTTACCCAAAATGAGTAGTGGGAGGAGAGGCATTCAAATTGAGGGGGAACACGTGTGCAAAAGGTTGAGAGGAGAGAAAAGGAGAATGCCTGTGAAGGAAAGCAAGTGGATTGTTTTAGGAGTGTGAGTGGAAGCAGGACCCAGAACTATTATTCACAGTTCCAAACACATCAGAGGTGCTTGAGAAATAGTCCTTGAACGAAGAGTGTGTGTTCGGAGGATGGAAAAACGGCAGGAGTCCGTATGTCTCCAGAGCAAGGTACTTGGCCCAGAGGATGCAAGCAACAAGGAGGAAGTGGGCAGTGGAGAGACCCGATGAAGGACGGCGCCCATCCCCCTACTCCCCGCTGCCCCCGGCCCTCCTCACCGCCCACTGTCCAGCGCGCCAGGAGCCTGGGGAGACCGCTTCCTCCTCCTGTGGACTGGACCTGGACTCCGGTGCGGGCACAGGGACGCATAGCCATGCTCGGCCTCTGCCAGAGAGAGTCCCCGCCAGCGTCAGGCTAGTCCCAGCAGGCGCCCCGGGCACGGCACCGTCAGAAAGGGATTCTGGGCTACAGGGCCATTTTCCCAACCCTTCCAGCCCACTGCCCGCGGACCCCTCTTAAGTTGAGCGCGGCGGTGCCGCAGGACTACTGCCCCCAAGGCCATGCATTCTTCAAGTCCGGAGTCAAGCCCAGCCCAGGCCAGTGTCAGCGAGGTCGCCGCCTGGAGTCCGACCAAAGGTTCTTCCTCACCTCTCTCGCGGCGCTCCAGAAACTCCGCCGCCTGCAGCAAGACTTGGATGTTGCTGGCCACCGGTTCCATGTCGGCGACAGCCGGAGGCAGGTGGGCCTGGGGTGCCGACCCGAGTAGCGGCGGCACCACTTTTGTTACAATGTAACTGACACGGGGCAACAAACACAGGCTCCCGGTCCGCCCCCAAGACGCCCCGCCCCGGGACAGCCGAGCTCTTGGCCCCGCCCTTCTGGGACGCGCCAGGGAACCGCGGCCCACCCTCCGCCCACCTGCCCGCCCCCTAGAACTCCCGTAGGGCTGCCACCGAAGCCAGCTGCAGGCCCGGCCTCGGGCGAACGCCCGGGCTGGAGTGGGGGTGCCGCGTCTTGCCGCTTCGCTCAGCGACCCCGCACCGACCACTTGGCGTTTCTGGGCCTCAGTCTCCAGCCCAGTACTGGTGACCAGAGGCCCGCACGCTGAGTGGTGCTCTGGGGGCGGGTGGTCCACCCTAGGCCCGGGGCTCCGCCGCTGCACGTGGGCGCCGCGGAGGCGGGGCCGGCGGACGCCCTCGCCCATTTGCTCTCTGCAGCTTGTGGCTTGCTGACGTCACCTTGTGGGCGGAGCACTAGGGCCTCGGAGGCACTATTGGCTGAGCGCGACTCCGCCCTCTCCCGCCGCTGGTCAACACGTTCGGGCGGGAAAAGGAGCAGGTTTCAAATTTGAAAACCCCGGCGATGGGGGCGGGGTCAAGCAGGGAATAGGGCGGCAGTGCGCAAGCGCCGGGGGAGGGGGCGGATCTGGCTCCGGCTCTAGGGGGTTAGTATCCTCGCAGGCTTGCCATCTGCCCCCGTAGCTCCTCGCTGGGTTCAGCTTCCTACTGTGGCGAATGGGAGTAGTCTTCCGGCTTCTCCTCATCTGCAGGAAAGTTGTTGTTGCTACGAAAACGTCAGAAGGGTACCGATTTATGAGAACCAGCTGGCTAGAATCCTGGGTTCTGGAGCCATCGGGGTTGAGTTCTCTCACCGCTACTTCTCAGTTGGGTGGCTTGGGAAGTGCCCTCTTTCCTGTAAGTTCGGGAAGCCCTGCGAAACCGTTGTCGTTGAAGGCCTGGGCACTGAAGGATCAGAGCCGTGCGCAGTGTGTAGGAGCTGATTTTGTAACCTGACACAGGCTTCTTCCTCCCACGGAGCCCATGGTTGCCTTACCCAGAGTCAATGAGCCCTTCTTTAACGTGACTAGACGTCTAGCCTCCCGAAGGAGATGATGCAGTGACTTCTAGCGGCGGCACCCCCCTGCGGAGACAGTGACAGTCTAAGGGTGGAGCCCGGAAGATGAAAGCAGCTGTTACAGAGTTGAGCATTACTGTTAGGCTGGGGCTGAATCTGTGGCCCGGAAATGGAGAGGAGGGAGAAGGAGGAACTAGATTTTTTATAAAGAGACAGCCCTGGCACACGACATGACACACGACAGTCAGTCCCCTCAGTTCCTTGGACAAAACCTTTGAGTTTCTCTAGGAGTCACTTCTAGAGGGAATCACTGACATGCTCAGCCAAGAACTGCTGCCTGGGACTATCCACCCTTTAACCCACCCGTTGGCTCATGAGATATTTGCTGAGAATTTGCAGGACCCTAGGCAATGTGCTGGGGGCTGGAGAACGCAAGGTTGGGCAGAACCAGACAGGGTCCTTCCCTCTGCCAAGCTCTTGCATGAGGGGGAGGGAGACTGACATAGTAATCACACAGTAAAGATACACTGTGACTTGTCCACACAGGAAAAGACACAATGTAAGGGTACTTCCTAAAGGAGCATTTGACCTAATCAGAGAGGTCAAAGAAGGTTTTTCTGGGACAGAGATGAGTAGGTGTTATCTATGTATAGGAGGAATGTATGAGAATTCCAGACACACTAATAGCAGGTGCAAAGGCCCCGGGGCTGAAAGGATGTATGCAGGTGGAAAGAAGGTCAATGTGGCCAGCATAGAGAGATCAAAGATAATGGTGCAGGTTGACACTGGAGAGGCTTGCAGAGCCCAGAAGAGACTGAAGGGTTCCCCAAACCCCCACCCCCAATTAATTATGTCCGCAGAAAAGAGTCACAAGACTTGTGAGTGAATTTCCCATTTTATTTCCCTAAAGTCAGCACCCACACAGTGTAGGCACAAACCAACTAGTAAGATATCTGGGACCCAGGTGGCCCAGCCTTGGGAGGGGAGAGCTGTGAAGGATAAGAGTTCCCAGCAGTGGGAGGGAGCTCTTAAAGAGTTGTGCTGTGTGCTTAGCAGTGTCCAACCCTGGGACCCCATGGACTGTAGCCCACCAGGCTCCTCTGTCCATGGGGATTCTCCAAGCAAGAATACTGAGTGGGTTGCCATGCCCTCCTCCGGGGGATGTTCCCACTCAGGGATTGAACCCAGGTCCACATTGCAGGTGGATTCTTTACCATCTGAACCACTAGGGAAGCCCAAGAATATTGGAGTGGGTAGCCTATCCCATCTCCAGAGGATCTTCCTGACCCAGGAGTAGAACCAAGGTCTCCTGCATTGCAGGCCGATTCTTTACCAGCTGAGCTACCAGGGGACCTCAGAGTGAGGGCTGCTCCAACTGGAGGTTGTGGAAGTGAGGCAGAGGCTGCAAAGGGGACTTGAGTAACCATGTCAAGGAGTTTGGACTTCATCCAAGAAGGGCTGGCTTTGAGCTAGGGAGCAGCATGGCCCTCAGGCCTCCCAGGGCCACTAACTAGAAGAAGAGGAGACAATCCTTCCCAGGGAGCAGGGCAAGTGAGGGAGGAAGGGGCTCCTGCCCCAAACCTTTGCATGCCCTTCTGGGCCCCTCTGAGGCAATGCTAGTACTAGTACCATCTGGGCGCACGGCTGGGCAGAGGCCTCCAGTGCTCCTGCCCTCTCAGCAGTGACTGGTCTTAGAGCCTCTTCCCAGACCCCCAGGTCCTGCCGAGTTCAGCCTGCACACTGAAGCCCTGTGGCCTCCCCACCCCTCAGCCCTTACTGCCCACATTCAGTGCAGGTTCTGTTAGAAACCAGTGTCCTCTGGGCTCCAAGGGGCAGAGCCTGCATCTGTGCCCTGAGTGAGTGAGAGGGAAGAAGGGGACCCCCACCCTGCTGTCTTGCCCCAGCCAGGACATCTGGAAGAGGGCGGCTTTCAGGGCCTCAGCCCCGGGCTCACCATCCTCTCTCACCCTATGGACAGGATGCCTGAGGAGACAGGACCCTCTCACCTCCTTCCCTGCAGGTGAGAGTAATGGGGCAGGTGGGGCAGTACTGGAGCTGAGGCCTGGCTCAGACCCTGGACCTGGCACAGCCTCTTCTCTATGCTCCCTGTCCCAGTCTCTCCCAGTTCACTCACCCTCCCCTCTTCCCAGAGAGTAGCATTCCATGGTCACTGAGCTAGCCAGGCCGTGTCTCTGCGGAAAGTCCCTCCAAGGCTCCTTCAGCCCTGAGGACAAAGTTCAAGCTGGCTGTGCGTTCCTTCTGCCTGTCAGGCCCCATGCCCTGCCCTTGCCCCACTTCCCTGACTCTGCTGGTTTGGCTTACATGTCACTTCCTCCAGGAAGTCCTCAGGCCTCCATTCTTCTGAGAACAGCAGTGGCTCTGTGTCCCTCAGGGTCAGCCTTCTCTGTCTGCCTATGAGCACAGCAAGAGAGGAACCGCTTTCCTAAAAGGGGTCGGGCCAAGCTGTCGTGGGGGGAGGGGACAACAGACCTTGGTGGGCCTGGCTCTCCATGTACACAGGAGGCCAGTGGCATAGCAGTCAACAGGCCCCCAACTTGGAGGCCCCCCTGGAATGCCACTCCAGGCATGTTACCAGAGACTGCACAACACTGGCTGTCAGTCAAGAAGGCTAACTGCTCCCTCTGCAAGTGCAGGGGAATAGGCCATGAGGCCAGGCCTGGCCAGACTACGTCTCAGAAGTGGCTGACAGTCCTGGTTATCCTGGGTGGGGGCACCAGGAAAAGGCCTCTATAAGACCTGTAGTATGTCCACACTTCAATTCCTGATATAGGTAGATTCCTCACCACCACCCTTGACAAGTTTTGCTGGGAGTGTATCAATTTTGTTCACTTTTTTTAAACAATCAACTTTGGATTTCTCTTGCTCCTTTTTATCTAGTTTCTTCACATGGAAATATACATGATTCACTTTATTCCTTTCTTCTCTTCTGCACCTTGCTTTCACTCCATCCCACAAACTTTAAGGTGTTGTTTTTGTTTTGTTTTTCATTCACATAGAGATATTTTTAGAATTTTTCTTTGACCTGAGGCCTGTGGGTAACCTGAAGTGTTTTCCATGTCTAATACTTGGGAATTTTCTAGATGTCTTTTTATTACTGGTTTCTAATTTGGTTCTATGGTGGTCAGAAAATATACTCTTATGATTTTGATCATTTGATTCATCAAATTTATCAAAGCCTGTATGTTCCAGTATGTGATCTATCTTGATGAATGTTTTATATGCACGTAAAAATAACATGCATCCTCCAGTTGTTACCTGTAGTGTTCTAAAAGCATCAGATTAAGTTGGTTGACTGTGTTGCATTAAAAAAAAAAAATTTATATCCTTACTGATCTTTTTTGTTTACTAGTTCTATCAGTGGAAAGTAAGTGTTAAAATCTCCAAATTTAATTGTGAAATTATCTATCACATTTTACTTTATATATGTGAAGCTCTAGGTGCATATACATTCATGATTGTTTTATCTTGTTGACTTCATTATTTTTGCATTCTGAAATGCAAGGTTATCTTTGACAACCTTTTCTCTAACGCTGCTTTGATATTAATATAGTCACAACAGTTCCTTTTGATTAGTGCTCTCATTGTGTTTTTTTTCCTGTCTTTTTTACTTTTTACCTAACAGTGTCTTAGTATTTAACATGTTTATCCTACAAATAGCATATGACTGGGGAGTTTTCCCCTGTGGGCTGATAATATCTGCCTTTCAATTGTGTTTAATACAATTATTCTGACATAGTTGATTTTAAGGTCTATCATCTTGATTTTTATTTTACATTTGTCCCATCTGTCCATTTCCTCTTTTACCTCCTTTTCTGACTATTTTGGATTATTTGAGTCTTTGTC